AAGTTGGAAGACTTATTGGTTCAAGTTCCTTAAGGAAATCTCTATCCAACCATTACCCAACCACTAAGCTAACTACAGAGACTTCAGTGGTTATACACAAAAAATATAGACCTTACAGAATTATCTAGAAAAGACACTAAGCAAACAAACAGCAGCAGCAACGATAGTCACAAACAACCCTGCACTGGGAGAAGGGGAATCTGATTCCCAAAGTTGCTACATTTTATTATGTAAAATGTCCAGTCTTTAAGAACAACAAAAAATGAAACATGCAAAGAGCCATGATGATATGGCCCCCCAAAAACGGGAAAAACAGCCAATAGAGACTGTCCCTGAAGAAACTCAGATGTCGGACTTACAAGACAAAGAGGTTAAATACGTTCAAAGAACTAACGGAAACTAAGTCTAAGGAATTAAAGGTAATTATGATGTCTCATTAAATAGCAATAAATAGAAATTATTTTTAAAAACTAGCTATTCTGAAGTATAAAAAACTGAAATTAAAATTTAGTAGAAGAGCTCAACAGCACATTGAATTAGCAGAAGAAAGAATAAGAAAAAACTGAATATATGTCCATCGAGATGATCTAATCTAAGGTACAAGAGAAAAAAAAAAGAATAGAGAAAAAAAGGACAGTGCCTCAGAGACCCATGGGACATCATTAAGTTTGCCAATATACACATAAAGAGAGTCACAGAGGAGAGAGAGAGAGAAAGGAATAGAAAGAATATTTGAAGAAATAATGGCTAAAAACTATCCAAAGGTAATTAAAAACAACTACACATCTAAGAAGCTTAATGAATACCACATAAAATAAACACAGAGATCCCCATATAGATACATTGTGGTCAGACCTTTAAAATACACAGAGAGAATGTGAATGCAACCAAAGAAAAATGAATCATCCATACAAGGGATTATAATAATAAAATTAACAGCTGACTTCTCATCAGGAACATGGAGGCCACAAGGCCATACGTTGACATATTTGAAGGGCTGAAAGAAAAAGAATTCATCAAGAATTCTATATTCAGAAAAATTAGCCTTCGAAAGCTAAGGGAAATTAAGGCATTTCCAGATAAACAGAAACGAAGAGAAATTACCACTAGCAGACCTGCCCTACAAAAGGTACTAAAAGGAGCCATTCAGGCTGACATGAAAGAACACTCAAAAGCTACATGAATCCACACAGGAAATAAAGAATATCAGTAAAGGCAACTGAATATGTATATATGAAAGACATCATAATGTATATTTTATGAAAATATATTTCACATATGAAAAAAATTCATTCTTTTAAAGTGTGCAGTTCAGTGGTTTTTAGTATATTCAGAGAGTTGTGCAACTATCACTACTATCTCATTTTAGAACATTCTCATCACCCTTAAATAGAAAAAAATATATAGCAACCTCCCCATGCCTTCTGTTTTCATCCCCTGGCAACCAATACTCTACTTTGTCTCTATGGATTTGTCTATTCATGCCATTTAATATAAATGGAATCATGAAATATGTACCTTTTAGGCTGACTTCTGCCACTTAGGATAACTTTTTTAAGATTCATTCATATTATAGCATGCATCAGTATTTTATTCCTTTTGATAGTTGAATAATATTCCATTGTATGAATATACCACATTTTGTTTATCTATTCATCAGTGGAAGGATACTTGGATTGTTTCCGTACTTTGGCTTTTATGAATAATGCTGCTATGAACATTCATGTACAAGTTTTTGTGGGTGAACATATTTGAAACTCTTTTGAGTATATACCTAGGATTAAAATTGCTACATCACGTGGTAACTCTATGGCTAACTTTTTGAGAACCTGCCAAACTGTTTTCCAAGTGGCTGCACAATTTCACAATCACACAGCAATGTATAAGGGGCCCAGTTTCTCCACAGTCTTATCAGCACTTGTTATTTTCCATGATTTTAGCCATCCTAGTGGGTGTGAAGTGTTATTTCATTGTGGTTTTTATTTGTATTTTTCTAATGACTAATAATACTGAGTATCTTTTTCCTGTAATTATTGGCTATTTGTATATCTGCTTTGGAAAAATGTCTGTTCAAACCCGTTGTTCATTGATAAATTGAGTTATTTGTCTTTTTATTGTCAAGCTGGTAACAGTAATTTGTATATTCTGGATATTAGACTTTTATCAGATATATGACCTGGAAATACTTTCTCTGTTCAGTGGGTTTTAACTTCTTGATAGTGTCTTTTGTTATAAAAAGGGTTTTTAACTTTGATGATGTCCAATTTATTTTTTTCCATTTTGAAAGTGTTTTAACATTTTTTTCATATTCTGCATTAGTTTAGGTAGCAAGAAAGTACTGTATTTGTCAGACTTAAAAGACTAACAGATAAGAGTTTTCAGCTCTCAAATTTTTAAAACAATTCTGATTTTTTAATGTTGATTTGTTAAGATTTTTTTAACTGCTTTCAGTTAATTTCAATATTTTTTTCCTAACTTTTTTTATCCAAAGGTTTTACGTTTAATCATTGTATGAATACCTAAAACTGGAATGGCTTTTTTGTGGAATTAATCATTTTATAATTATTTATTTATTTTGCTATTCAAATTTTCTTTTCTTTTTTCTTTTTTTTTTTTTTTTAATTCAGTCTCCATAGAGACTGTCAAAAATTGCCAGGGATGACTATATTGCAAGTCGTCACGGCGGGAAATGTTTTCAATTAGTAATAATCACGCCTCGGATGAACCTCATTGGCTACAATACTGCCACTGAGCAAAGCTGCTATTCCAATTTTCTTTTTTTATTCCTTTTTTTTTTTATATTCAGTCTGCATAGAGACTGTCAAAAATTGCCACGGCCGACTGTATTGCAAGTCGTCACGGTGGGAAAAGTTTTCAGTTAGTAATAATCACGCCTCGGATAAACCTCATTGGCTACGATACTGCCACTGCACAAAGCTGCTATTCAAATTTTCTGAGCAATGCTTGTTTATTCCATACAATATTGACGTGTTGAGTTTTTATCAAGCATTCTGTAAGTAACATATATTTGTACTTAGATTTTAAAAACAATCTGAAGTCTTTTCATTGCACTTTACCCTTCATGACATAGTTGTTAAATTTGACCTAACTTCAATCATTTTATTGCATGCTCCCTATTTTTTTATGCTGACTAGTTGACTAGTTTTTTTCATCCTAGTAGTTTTATTTGCTTTCTACCTCTTGATGTACAGACTACATTTTATCTCATTTTATTTTCTCCATGTTTGCTTTACTTCTCAGCAAGTTTTTACACATGTGCTCACTGTCTCCTTGAAAGTCTTGCTTCCTTCATCGTTCATGGAGTGACTTTTGTCTAGGTGTTTCACCTTCCCTCTGGTACTTTCTCTTCAATTCTGATGGTTTCTTCCTCTTTCCCCTTTCCTTACAATGTTAATGTTCTTAAGAGTTCCTTTTTTTCTTCTTAAGCCACTTTTTTTGGGCCATTTCATTCACTTCCTTGGATTTAAGGATCATCCATATGTTAACAGTTCCCAGCCTTTTAGATCTGTCTTAGATCTCCCTCCTGAACTCAAGCCCATAGATGCAACTGACTACTAGATGTCTATATTTGGATGTCTCACAGGCATATTAAACATAGCATACTCAATATGGCACTCATCTCTTCCCAAGTAAACCTGTTCTTCTGCCAGGATTTTCCCTCCAGGAAATGACAGGACATCAATCCGAAAGCCAGAAAATCTGGGAACATCTTTAACTTTTCTCTTCCCCTCAGCCCTTGTATTTCTCATCTGCATCATTCAATATTCTTGATTCTGTAATCTACATAGCTATGAAATTCTATTTCCTCTTCCTCTCTCTATAGCCCCTAACCCAGTGTAAGTGACCACCAGCTCTTCTCCGGATCCTGCAAAAACTACCTAATTCATCTTCATTCTGTCTTCCCTCCTGAATTAAGAGAATCTTTCAAAATGCAAATCTGACTGTGGTACTCTTCCATTTAAAACTCTCCAATGGCTTTCCTTTACCTCTAAGTCAATGTTGTCAGGTCTCCTTCATCTTGGCCTCTGCTCACCTCTACTGCCTCCTTCTGAGCACTCTCCATGTCTCACTGTGCTCTCCAGCCATACTACATTTACATCAGTTCTTTGAACATTCTATGCACCCTGTGGCAGACACTGTGAATTGTTCCATTATCCATTCCCTCTTTCTTCTTTTTAGTAATAGAACCCATCCCATTCTCATCCAGATTTAGTGGGACCCATGCTACAAGATGTGACTCTGTGACTGGATTCTCACCAATGCAATATGAGGAGGAGTGATATATCCAACTGCAATGTTACTTCCGTAAAAGGAAATTGATTGCCTTTTGTTTCCTCTTTGCCCCTTCCCTGTGGCTAGAATACAGATGTGGAACTAGTGCGTAACCTTTATGTGGATGAGAAAATGCACTAGGACAACAGAAGGCTATAATATGTTGTTTTGGTTTATTTTTGAGATGGAGTTTCACTCTTGTCACCCAGGTTAGAGCACAACGGTGCGATCTCAGCTCACTATAACCTCTGCCTCCCAGGTCCACTCAATTCTCCTGCCTCAGCCTCCCAAATAGCTGAGATTACAGGCGTGCACCACCATGTCCAGCTAATTTTGTATTTTTATTAGAGACAGGGTTTCACCATGTTCTTCAGGCTGGTCTCGAACTCTTGACCTCAGGTGATCCACCCACCTCAGCCTCCCAAAGGGCTAGGATTATAGGCATGAGCCACTGTGCCCCACCAAAAATGGAAGGAACCCAGGACCCTGAATGACCATGCAGTGGAGAGTACATTCTGGTTGTTTATTGCAGCAGGTTAGCCTGTTTATCAGTCAGGGTAGCCTCTGTCATGTTGCAGTCATACAAAACCCCCAATGCTTAGCAGCTTTTTACCCCCAACAATAATAAACTGGCATATTGCAAGTTACATTTTGAAGCAAAAAAGACTGGTTGGGACAAAAGAAAGAAGACACCTGCACTATACGTGCTTCGTACAAACAGTTCATTCTGAATGGTAGAATTAAATGCAGACCAAATGCTTTTAAATGTTTGTGTGCCTAGATAGTAATTACAATCTCCACACACTAAAAAGAAAAAGAACAATAACACAGAACATAGTATTCTTAATGATTACAGCGCATTTAACACCTTCAGCCATCCACTGGGTTTTCAGATCATATTGGCAACTGAAATTTCACATCCTCATGTGCTTGCTTTGCAAAGGCCACTATTTCAGAGAGCTTTAGCAACATTCTAGCAGCTTCATCCCAGTCATCACAAGCAAGTATTTTAAGTCCGTGGTCCACTATCAGTGCCTTAGCATCATCGACCCACGTACCTTGTAACTGTACCACAACGGGGATTCTAATTTCCAAATCTTTTACTGCCATGACTATACCCTGTGCAATAACATCACAGAGCATGATTCCTCCAAAATTGTTGACCAGAATAGCCAGTACCTTTTTATCTGAAGTGATAAGCTTAAACGCTTCTGTTACTTGATGGATTGCAGCACCACCACCAACATCAAAGAAGTTGGCTGGAGTCCCTCCATAAAGTTTCATTATATCCATTGTGGCCATAGCCAAACAAGCACCATTTACTTGGCAGCCTATATTTCCATCAAGGCCAGTGTAGCTCAGACGTGCCTTAGCAGCATCTTTGTCCCTTTCATCTTCCTGGGTCCAGTCCTGTAGATGAAAGATTTTCTTCTGGCAATAGGCTGAATTAGAGTCAAAACTGATCTTTGCATCCGTACACAACACAGCTCCATCTGAATCTTCCACTATTGGATTTATCTCTATCATGGTTGCATCGTTTACAGAAAAAGACCGTAAAGCTTGACCATGTTTTCTGCTGCTGAATCCACGATATTAGGTGGAAATCCCATCTTCTGTGCAAGCCAGAGAGCTTGTTCCTTTTTGATGCCTTCTACAATATCAATAGGTTCTTTAATTATTACTTCAGGAGTCTCAGCAGCAACATCTTCCATGTTGACGCCACCATGTGAACTGCCTATTAATACAGAACCTTGAAGTGACCTTTCCATTGTTATTGCTAAATAGTACTGTCTCTTGGGATATTTTCGCTCACAGACCACTACTTGATTGCATATTCTGCCCTTTTCTCCCGTTTGCTTGGTAAACAACTTTTTTCCAATCATTCGAAAAGAAACAGCTTTTGCTGCTTCTGGAGAGAAAACTATCTTCACTCCTTCTTTGGGGCCACTTTCAAATGTTCCTTTTCCTCTACCACCAGCTAAAACCTGTGCCTTTATCACAACATCTTTTGAACCTAATTTTTTGGCAATTGCATAAGCTTCATCTGGTGACTTTGCCACATATCCTTTGGGAACAGAGACATCAGCTTCTTGCAATAATTCCATACTCACGTATTCATGTAGTGTGAGATTCCTTTGCTGTTGCTGCTGTACTTGGAATCCATGTTTATTAAACAATCCAGAATTTCCCAGAACCTGAGGCCGGTGGTTCCAAAAGGTAGAGGTGGTCAACTACCAGCTGTAGAACATGGAGGCAGCCATTTCTGAGTCAGCGGTAGCTTAACACAATAAGCTACTTATTTATTTTTCACTGATACTACGTAGATTCAGCACAGATCAGCAGAGTGGCTCTGCTCCGGTAGTCACTTGGGGACCTTGCCTAACGAAGAGCTTCATCTAAATATGTGTCTTAATGAGCCCATAGGAGAGAAAGGGAATTGGCAAATTGTACTGTCTTTTAAAGCTTACAGCTAGAAGTCAGCCACACACTCCACTCACAGTCCATTAGACAAAGCCAAGTTAAGGGTTAAGAATGTGTAGTCCTACATGTTCCCAGAAGGAAGAGAAAACCACAATGTTTATGATGAGTCCCAGTGACTATTTCCGCAGCTTCATTAATACCTCTTAGCTTGTGTTCCCCCTAGAAAAGTAACGTCTACTTGTTTTGCTCAACTGTTTGTAGGATATGTTTCAAAATTTATATTTCAAGAAATTCACAAGACCATAACTTCTCATTAATTCTTCCTGCAATCATTAACCTTGGATTCCTAGAATAATTACTTCCTTTCCATAATGACCCCCAAATATTTATCTAAATATCTGAATCCTCTCCAAAGTTCCAGTGCAGTACTAGATTTCCCTCTGGCTACTACATGTCAAACTTGACAAGCAAAAGAAACCTTAATATTACCTTCACTTCCCCCTCTTAAATCTGGTTCTTCTAACTGGTTTATGTTTAATTTTGTTTCCTTTTGTTAGTATCTTTGTCCCCAGCCCCTAGAATAGTACCTAGCATGAGAAGGGGCACTATATACAAATTGAATTAATGTATTAATGCTATCGAAACTTGATAATGGTTCCCAAATGTGGAAAATTCCATTCCCTCCTTACCAGCCTGCTGAGTCTGCCTCTGAACTCTCTCTTGCAGATGATTCTTCTCTTTCACCGGCCACACTTGGCTATTCAGGAGCTTATTGCCTATGAAGCAGACTGTTCTGATACCTTTCTGACAGTTAGTCCCATTGCCAATTTTTCTATTCTCCTGTCCATTTCACACAACACTTCCATGTTAATTTCCTTGAAGCGTATGACTCATTTTGTCACTGTTTCACAATCCTATAAGGGGCACATATAGTATGCAAGTGATGTGCTACATTCTGAAGGGAAAACAGAATCAGGTACAGCCTCCATCCTTGAGCAGCCCACCACCCCATGGGGAGACAGATGTGATTCAGAGCAGAGACAGCCGTGCCAAGATGGGAGGAGCACTGAGCTGGGGTGACAGAGGTGACAGATGCTGAATCAACCACAGAGCCACACAAGAGGAGCATTTACTCCACGTTCCCACAGACAATTAGACATCTTCCTGGACAGAAATAGGAACAAGTTCATCTTTGGAGCCAGGAGGAAGGAAGGAAAGGATAGGTACTCACTGAGGTTAGTTTAGAAGTGGGGGCCAGGGAAGAAAATGGATGGTGATTAGATCCGAGGACTTCTGTTTCATCTGATGGATGAGGAGAGTTTCTTCCTTGAGGAGGACAAGCACTATGCTGTGGAGTGTTCTCTAAGACCTGGATGTGCTGCCAGCTGGTGGCTTTCGGTTCCCAGTCCCTGCTGGAAACCCCTGTGTCCACAGCATGCAATCTAATTCTACAGACAGGTACTGATACTTTGGGCATGGTGTTTGGCTATATTAGGAAGCTGCTGTTCCCCTTCCCCCTTGTAGATTTCCACCACGGACGCCATAATTTGGCTTTTATGACAATGCTTAGATACACACTGTTCTCCAGGGGAGGGAGCCTGAAGTCAAATGAATTGCTGCATGGATCTTGTAAATCCATAGCAGACCGAATTGCTTGGAAGCCATAGTACTTTTTATTTATAAAAGCCAGGCTTTTTTGAGAGGAAAAAAAATAGGAGAACTTTTTTTTTTTTAAGGGAAAGGGGATATTATTTTTGGAATTCTGAAAGCTTAACTTTGAATATAGAGCCAAAGCCTGGAAAATTGAAAGCATATATTTTGCAAATAAGCCACGGAAAAGGGAAAGATGACAAAATCGTTTTTGCCAGATGGCATCCTCCTCAGCACTTTTCCCACCCCCCTCACCCCCGCCCCACACACTCACTCATACCATCAAAAGGAATATCAGGCAGGGCGAGGCGGAGTTTTGTCATTTATTTTAAGTGCCTCTTTTGCGCAAGGCTCTTGGGGAATAAAAGACAATTCCTTTTCAGAAAAGAATCATCTAATCTGGCAAGGGTGATAAACGGGATCTCTCCACAAACACGTGAAAAAGTGTCATTTATCTTTTTCGTACTGGCCAAGACTGCTGATTCCTGGCTCTGTGCTGGAACTTCGGGAGATCATACAGCCTCTGATAGGATCTTCTAGAAATTTCCATGCACCTTTGGTGAATTTCCGGGAGGACTGGGAAAGCAACTTTATAGCACAGGCAGGTTGACAAGATCACCTAAATAAGCCTGCCAATGTTGGAGCTCTTTCCCATGCTGAACTGAAGAGGCCTCAAAGTCTTGCTGACCTTCTCTCTTTCACTGTCTTTCCCCAAACACAGGATGCCTTCATCTGCTTAAAGCAACCCACCAAAAGGAACAATTGTTTTTTCTTCCTCTCCCTGTAAAACCAAGGCTGTAACTATTATAGTAGGTAGCTAGTCAGACATGAGCGGGCTGAGAGAGGGCTTGCCCCCCCCCACCAGGAATGTCATACTGCCTCTCTACAATGATAATTGGTCACAGCAGGTGCAGGGAGAGGCAATTTCCCAATAGACACAAACTTGAAATTGGCCATTGGCAACTTCCATTAAAATCTCAGGAATTGGGCGAGTGGGCTCAAGTATGTGCATGAAGAGACAAAATGGCAGAGTATAACTTTCTGGGGCATTCTACTGGGAAAGGGAAGAGCACCACAAGTGAGCACGTGTACAGCTCCAGTACACACACTGAGCATGTTCACACTGAGCACGTTCACCTTTCAAGTGTTAGCAGGTCACCACGCATGCGGGCAGCCCACTCCAAGGAAAGAATCATGGGAAAAAGGACACAAGATCCTGGAATTATGCCAGCATAGAAAGCTCCAAGTCAAAAAGTAAAATGCCACACTTGTCCTTCAAGTCAGCCATGTGGGTCTCTTCCAAGTGTACTTTCTTTCCTTTTGCTCCTGTTCTTTTTTCTTTTCTTTGAGACAGAGTCTTACTCTGTCACCCCGGCTGGAATGCAGTAGCACCATCTCAGCTCACTGCAACCTCCGCCTCCTAGGTTCAAGCGATTCTCCTGCCTCAGCCTCCTGAGTAGCTGGGACTATAGGAGTGAGCCACCACACCCGGCTAATTTTTGTATTTTTAGTAGAGTCAGGGTTCCACCATGTTGGCCAGGATGTCGAACTCTTGACCTCAAGTGATTTGCCTGCCTCAGCCTCCCAAAGTGCTGGGATTACAGGTGTGAACCACCATGCCTGGCCACTGCTCGAAAGCTTTTTTTTTTTTTTTTTTTTTTTTTAACTTTTTTTCTTCTTTAGTTCTATCCACTTGACATCCCATCGAAAACTTTTTAATAACTTCACTCCTACTCTGAAACTTGCCTTGGTCTCTTTTTCTACTGTATGCTCCTCAGTCGAACTCTTTCTTCTGAGGAGGCAAGAATTTAGGTTGCTGCAGACAGCTACAGATTCGCTGCCAGTAACTTGGATATTCGTCACCCCTAACATTTTGGTGCCATGTGACTTATATACCTTCTACCCCTAACCTATTCACACCTGAACAGATCCGTTCACAAGATAACACGCAAATTAATCTCTGCTCCCTGATCCATTCATTCTCCCCAGATCCTCTCAACCAAATCCTCCTTTCTCCCCACCTGTACTGTTAGAATGATACACGTGCTTCTGAACCACCTTGCAGGGTGGGCAGTCACTCAGGATTCTCCCCGTGTGCATGCGGTGTACACATTAAATAAATCTGTATGCCTTTTCTCCAATTAACCTGCCTTTTGGGAGATTATTTCTTTTAGTGAATTTTGTAAACCAAAAATAAAATTCTAATCCCCCTCCCCCGCACAGCCATCTGAATGAACCCCTCCTCCCAGCCAAAGACATTCTGTAGTTAACCTGAAAATCCAGCTCAGGTCATAGTGGTAGAGGGGTTTAGACATGCCTCACGTGCCCCTCCTGCATTAATGGCAACACAGACCTTAAGCCTAATAAGAAACTTTTACAATCTATTTTCTCTGAAGCCGGCTACCTGGAGGTTTCATCTGCATGATAAAACCTTGGCGTCCACAACCCCTTATTTTAATCCAGACATTTCTTTCTACTGATAATAACTGTTTTAACCAGTTGCCAATCACCTATGACCTGGAAAATCTACCTATGACCTGGGAAATCTACCTATGACCTGGATGCCTGCCCTGCCCACCCCCTTCAGGTTGTCTCTTTCTTCCATTGAACCAATATAAATCTTACACACATTGATTGATGTATTATGTCTCTTAAAATGTATAAAGGCACTGTTTACAATAGCAAGGACCTGGAACCAACCCAAACGCCCATCGATGATAGACTGGACAGGGAAAATGTGGCACATACACACCATGGAATACTATGCAGCCATCAAAAACGATGAGTTCGTGTCCTTTGTAGGGACATGGATGAACCTAGAAACCATCATTCTCAGCAAACTGACACAAGAACAGAAAATCAAACACCGAATGTTCTCACTCATAAGTGGATGTTGAACAGTGAGAACACATGGACACAGGGAGGGAAGCATCACACACTGGGGTCTATTGGGGGGAAAAAGGGGAGGGACAGTGGGGGGTGGGGAGCTGGGGAGAGATAGCATGGGGAGAAATGCCAGATATAGGTGATGGGGAGGAAGGCAGCAAATCACACTGCCATGTGTGTACGTATGCAACAATCTTGCATGTTCTTCACATGTACCCCAAAACCTAAAATGCAATCAAAAAATGTATAAAAGCGAGCTGTACCCAGACCACCTTGGGCACATGTCCTCAGGACCTCCTGAGGCTGTGTC